CCGCCGGCTTCCGCCGAGCTTCCGTCGGCGAGGCCTCCCGTGCTCTGCACTTCCGCACGCCGGAGTCCGCATAAGGGGAGGTGCCAATTCTTCGGTTCTTTGACGACGGCTCAGTTCAGTTCAGATGCCTTGCGTCCAGACGGCGCGCGAGCAGGGTGAGACAGTGAGCAGCCAAATTGCTCATTAGAGAGGTGTGCTGTATTGGCAACGGCTGCGCGTGTTACACACACAGAGGGAGGAGGAGGAGGAGGAGGAGGAGGAGGAGGAGGAGGAGGAGGAGGAGGAGGAGGAGGAGGAGGAGGAGGAGGAGGAGGAGGAGGAGGAGGAGGAGGAGGAGGAGGAGGAGGAGGAGGAGGAGGAGGAGGAGGAGGAGGACAGGAGGAGGAAGAGGGAGGGGGAGGGGGAGCGGAGGAGGAGGAGGAGGAGGGAGGAGGAGGAGGAGGAGGAGGAGGCGGAGGAGGAGGAGGAGGAGGAGGAGGCGGAGGAGGAGGAGGAGGAGGAGGCGGAGGAGGAGGAGGAGGAGGAGGAGGAGGAGGAGGAGCAGGGCGAGGAGGAGGAGAGAGGAGGAGGAGGAGGAGGAGGAGGAGGAGGAGGAGGAGGAGGAGGAGGAGGAGGAGGAGGAGGAGGAGTAGGAGAGAGGAGGAGAGGAGGAGAAACGAGAGCCACAGCTGCGCACTCAAATGCCATTCGGGGGCGTACCCCCCGGCGCGACCAGCCAACTGGCAGCTTCAGGACGTCCTCGTGGAGGCGGGCCGCGAGGCTGCCGCACTGCGTGCTGGGGAGACCCTGCAGCCCTGCGCTGGGGCTCCTCGGCTCAGAGGTTGAGCTGCGCACCGCGCGTGCGCTGGAGGCCAAAGGCGCGTGGTGGCTCCCGCCTGTGCGAAGCCGAGGCCGCCGAGGCAACCCAAAGATCCAACGCTCCAACAAAAATTGGAGCGTCGGGATTTTGGCAGTTTTCGGCCTCCGGGGGCCCTCGCCGGGCCTCGGGAGCGTCGAAAACGAATCGGGACGAAAAATCGGCCCCGGGGAAGTGATCCGGACTTCTGGTGCGCACACATCGAACAAATTGGAGCAGCCGGATGTCTGGGCTGGCGCCGCCTCCGCAGGCGTCGCTCTGTCCCACTCATTCCACGCGCTCTGCTCATCTGTCTGGGCCCGAAGGGAGTACGCCTATGAAGCTCTCGGGGCGAACATGGTATTCAGGGATGTGGGTGTCGAGCAAACAAGGGAAAACCAGAAACAAATCACCGATACCTCCTGACAGGAGGAAGCTGCAAACACAGTAGCAACGACACGCGTGACAAGTAGAGCTGCCCTGAAGCATGGGAGCTTTTATAACATCACTAATCCAACGCCATCGCACGCCATACTTCTCCGGGGAGAAGACGCGGATGCTCGTGCTCGTCGAGCCGAAACTCATACTTCCGAACAGGGCGCTGACTACCTTCTCGGAGGCATCTGGAAATATGGCTCGCGGAAAGCTCCAGCTGACGCGCAGCTTCGCAAATAGAACAAAAACGCATCCAATCGCCTGTTTCTCTCAAACGCGCCAAAATCGGCTTGGTCCGATTAGTTACGCTCCGCTGGATGGCAGGGGACGACTCGTAAGAGTGCAACATATTTTGGGAGCAGGTGACGTACTCCAAATTGTCCACGTGATTGTTGGCGGAGTCTCCGTCCTTGTGGTGAACCTGCCACTGCTCGACGCTGGGAGGGGGTCCCAAGAAAGCATAGGCCACTACACGGTGCACGAAAACATTGAAGGATACTGATCCACGCTGCATGTGAATACGATAACGGCCATTTGCAATTTTAATACCCCTTGATGCGACTCCACGTGAAGATTTCACGCGCCCGTGAGAACTGACCGACCACCCTGGAAACTGGCACCCAGTATTTGGATGAAACGCAGGTTTCCAGAGCTCCCCAGGCAAAACACGAGGCGGAGACTTTGCATCATCATATCTGAACTCGAAACCGCCAGAGGACTTCAGTTTGCCCTTGCAGCATTTGCCTATGGATGTAGCATGGAGACATAATGCTCGAGCGGCGGCGGAAATCGAAGGGTACGACACCCAAGCGTCCTTCCCAATCGGTCTTGCTGAGACAGGCTTCCAGTTTGCACATTGGGCCCTCGTTCTGTCAGGATTCAGCCTGTAGTAATGCTGCATGTTCTCTGAGTGCGTCACGTACTCCAGATTTCCAACTTGATTGTTCGCTTTATTCCCATCCTTGTGATTGACGAAACGCTTGCTCTCACTTGGTGGTGGCCCCAGGAACGCGCGAGCGACTAAGCGATGAATAAAATGTGCACTGCCCCCAATCTTCGTTGTACGATATCCAGAACCGTCACAGCTACCCCACGTTATAATTCCATACTTGCTCTGTACTCGCCCGTATGAGCTAATTCCAGGAACCCACAACATATTCTGAGAAACACCTCGCCCACAAAGCACGTGGCTTGCGTTGAATTCCAACGGGCTAGCAGTGCAACTTGCCG